ACACCAAAAATACAAATAAGAAGAACAGAACGAGGGACAAACTTCAGAAGCTGGAAATATCAACAGTTTATTTACTACCATTTGTGACTACAGAAATGTTGAAACATTTGAACACTGAAAAAAGCTGGATGACATCATCGCTTGCTTCTCAATTTTCTTTCTTTTTTATCATTTGCTTAGCAATCACAACAGATGATATTGCACGGCACTGAGAAAGCAGTAGTAAAGCCTGGAAAACAGCAATGACAAATAAAGTCATGAGACATGGAGTTATACATCTGACAGTATTGCCTCTTTGGCACGCATACGCTCACACACACTCACTCTCTTTCTCTCTCTCTCTCTCTCTCTCACAAACACACACACACACTCACTCTTACACATTCAAAGACTGAAAACAAAAGAACCATAGTGTGTTGAGAAGGATGTTCAAATAAAAAAACATGGTTAAAAAGAGTAATGAGATTTCATTGTGTAATGCAAGTGCAAAATGAACTTCTACTGTAATCTGTCCCTATATGTTAATGACAACAAATATGCTTGTTTATCAAAACCCTTCAAGCATCTTTGTATATGAATAGCTGGAAGGACACCCCTCTGTGGGTGAGAAACTAGTTCCCCCAGCGTAAGAGATCCAGATGATTGTCTTAGGCGCCGCAGTATTGTTATGAGACTTGTAGCCAAGCCACCCATCATATGGGAACTCCTTTAGAACCAAATAAATAACAAATAACATGAAAAGCGGAGAAAAAAAAATAGGTCCACATTGCATTAACCATTTTTCATAAATACAGGCTACAACAACTATATCGCTCAAACTTGCTGAAAAACCTCCACATTCTCCATCCAATGATGCAGTAAGTGCACAACATCCTGATTGAATCTGTCATGGACACTTTGGTGAGGACTCGGTGCTGTCTGAGCATGACAGAGAGAAAACACTACTGACAGTAGGGCCTCTGATAATAAGGGAGCCGCTGCTCTGACATGTAGCAGTGAGCCACACACATGCATATCAGCAAACAGCTTGGCAATATGCAATACAGACACATTTGACAGAGGACAAAAACACAGCAAAGGGATGCATGCAAATAAGCACACACACGCACAAACCCGCAGACCTCAGCGTTGCTTTAAATCAGAGGGGCACGCGCGCGTCCAAGGACAGAGAAGAAACGGGCAATCCAAGTGTCCATCCCCACACACACTTGTACACGGATTCCTTGGTAAGGTTCTTTGCAGTTTTATTAGACTTTGCTTATAGTCATTACACGAGTACGTATACCAAAAGAACACATACTAGATGGAGCAAGGCGGCCGTGCCACAGCAATAAAAACAGACCCAGCTCTGTGGCACAGCTCCTGGCAGACCGGCTGCCCAGCCCACACTCCACCTCACTCTGTGTATGAGACAGCAAAGTGAGCAGGGCTTGCAGCCCTGGCTTCAAATGCTTTGGATTGTACATTAAACAGGAGATTCCCCACATGGTAGAGTAAGCTTGCCTACACAGCCCTACGCCTTCTACATTCTATACCCGTGCGAATGGTAAATAAAAACTCAACAATTCTACCTCACAAATGCCAGTGCTTTTTAACATTATACATATTTTTTTTTCCAATTTTAGGTTTTGTTTTAAAAATCTTTGGATGTGCAGTAATACCCATAAAATAACTGTTTCCAAAAAAGTCAAAAAAATTAGAAAAAACACAAACTCGCACACTGCTTTTTTGCCAGCTGGTCAACAAAGTAGCTTCTGTTTAACTTTGTTGGCACTGGCAAATCAACTGTCTGGGTTTTTCTGGCAGTGTTTGAAACACACATTGAAATGCCGGCTAGGATTTAGCAGAAGAAGAATAAAAACTACTCTTGTTAGATCTAAGCGTGAGAAAACAAGGCTGTAACATAATGTCTTTTTTATCTTTTTTTTCCTCCAAAAAACCTACTATGTACAAATCTAGAGTTTCTACAAATGCATAAATTAAAGAAGTGGTTAACCGATACAAAAATGCAGTTAAATTAAAATCACAACACAGAAATAGGTAAAAGGGAAATTATAAACACAATATCACAGCAGTTGGTTTTACCCTGTAAAAGTAATAGTCTACCATCATAATCTTGGCATAACCCAATGTCTGATAAAAATACGCTTCTCCCTCAATCCCGTAAGTTTCATTCATCAACCCTGAAACTTGTCCTTCGTCACTTGAAACAGAGCACTTTTGCCAGAAATCAGAAGACGAACAAACAACAACTTCAAAATAGATAATCATACAGTGTTTTAAGTAACAAATCACAATTATCACACTAGTGGAGTTCTGCCTTACTCACAGATAGACGTCTCTATGCAGAGCTCAAAGGAATTATTACTATGAGGTATTCAGAGACATTGGTAAAGACATGCACGGCCAGAGTGCTGGACCTTCTTCCACACAGCAGAGAGACAAGGAAGGTTAGGGGAGAGAGGGATGGAGGGATAAGGGGGGAAAGAGGAGGAGAAACAAAGACCTTTGGTTTGATCTGTAGAAGTGGACAAAAGAAAATCCTTTGGTATGTTTTCATTGCATGGTTGTGCCAGCAAAAGCACCACGGTGTGATTTTTCTTAGAAAAAAAAGAAAAGAAAAAGAAACTAACTTTTCCTTGTTTCTTCAGTTGTGGCCCTTCTACAGGCTGAGGTATTCACAGAGTCAAAGGTGAGAGGTCAACAGCGGTTTAACACTTTGGTTCAAACAAGGCACTCGTCCTGGGAGTTTTTAGAAAGATTGCAACACGTCTGCTTCTACTTTCAGGAACATGTCTGCCTATAGTTGAGTCAACAACTCTGCCCATGGCTATGTCAGGCTGTCCGCCTGTTGTCATGTGAGGATGTCTGAACTGTTTGTTAGATCAATAATAGCAACCTATGGATACACACAAACTGGCTAGAGCAGAGGTTGGGTAACTACATTAAAATCTTGCAGATTGAGCTACTGATGATTTAAGCAATGCATTCCAATAAAGGCAATGCAATTTAATATCCTTTTGGTCCGCAAAGTTGTAGACGCTAAGACAGATCCCATTACTAATAGCCCACAGGCACCTGCATGGCCAGTTGTGTGTATCTAGAGCTGGATCGTCACTTTTGCCTATAGCTACATCAGCATGACTATCTATGGAACTGTAATCAGAGCACAGATGAAGCAAGAGCAAGCATAGCAGGGGTGCATGGGTTGATTGCAGGTTAAAGGGGCAAACGGGGAGAAAAGAGGACAGGAGAGAAAAGAGAGGAGGCAGGGGGAGCGGGAAACATATATATCAAACATTTTTAACACCACTCATAGAGGCCGTGCAATGAGAAAAAAATCTTTGGTTTTCTTTGGTATCATCAAAGTGATAGAAATCACATATGGAACTTGAGTGAGGTAGCATCTTTGGTTCACACTATAAAACATCAGCAGGTCTTGACACATTTTTGTTTTTGTCTCTTGTCACACTTTTTGGTATTTCTCTCAGAGATGATGAAGCTCTGGCCCCTCCTTCAGAGCTTGTCGTGAATAATGTGGAGCTGCTAACCCTGGCCAAGAGGGGGATGACAGCAGCACACCGGCTTAATACGTCTAATGCTGCCCTGGGCCGGCCCTGAGTAGTGCTTTCCTCCTAGTGCTGAAATGCATAGCTAACCAGGAGAGTGAGGGCAGCAGATAGAGGGAGGGTGGGGAGGGATTGGCAGCAAGCTAGGAAGGGTGGAGGTGGGGGTTGCTTTTGTATTCAGGTGATGAGCTGACATTGCTGTGTAAGCGCCTGAGAGTGATTTGATCATTGATATCATCTCCTCTGCCCTACATCTTTGATGAGGAGATGATATCAGATACATATGAAGCGTACAGGGATGGTGGAGTAAAGCTCAATCCTTATCACCACAGTAGCGATGCAGCTTGCCTTTAAGAAGAAAAAAAGAAACTTGCTCAGTGTTAAGACCACACATCGAGCCAGCAGCTTGTGCTTTCACATTTGCACTGAAAACACAGACGGAATTGTCTTTGTTTGCCAGCTGGGGACATCTGAACAAAATCGAGATCCCATGTGGACATCAGCTGAATACATTAACAGGCCAAGAAGCATCTGTAATGATTAATCCTCACACTGAGCTTTCACAGCAACATTCAGACTGATTGGGAAGTTAAAAGTAGAATATTCTGTTAGATTCAAGAAGGCATCTGTAAGGCAAGTATCACTAGCTCCTGCTTAGGTTTAGGTCATTTGATGTTTCTAATAGCAGGGCGCACAGATTTGAGCACACTGCTGTGTGGACCATGAGCTGTAACATTCTCCTCTTTATGCATCATCACAAAGAGGACAAACAGTCTATCCCGAGAGAAAAAGGAGGAAAGGAAGATAAAATAAGATTATTAGATACAAATATACTCTTTGGTCAGATTTCTTTGTAGCACACTCGTAAGTAGTTTTATCTCAAAGCTGCATGAGAACTTTACTGTGTAGAAAGCTTTGGTTCGCTTCAGCACGTCGGAAGAAAGCACTACCATGTGGGTTGATATCTGGGGATCTTTTTTTTTTTTGGTTTGGCTTTGAGTTGGGCTTTGGGTTAGCAGTCTACACGTTGACATTCCCCCATCTGTCTGTAATGCTTGATAGAGAGACAGACGGGTGCACAAACGGAACAGACGGACACACAGACAGGCGTACAGTCAGACAGTCCACACCACAATCAAAACAAGGTTTGCACAACAAGCCAGTAGCTCCAGCAGGATTTTCTTTTCTTTAAACTTGATTGGCCAATCCCACCGGAACTCCACATTCTTCCCTGTTTTTCAAGGCTGTGGACAGCTGCAGATCAGTGTGCCAATAGGCTGATTAAATGTCCAATTAGGACCCTTCATTAAAACCAACCAACCAGATCTAAGATAAGGATGGCAAATGATAGACTGATACAGACTGGGGATGTGAGAGGTTGTAGTAAAGCTAAAGACCAGTGATATTGTGTGTGTGTGTGTGTGTTAGTGAGTGTATGTGTGTGTGTGTGTGTGTGTGTGTGTGTGTGTGTGTGTGTGTGTGTGTTTGTGTGTGTGTATAGGAGGGGAACTGAAAGTCTTTTTGCAGTATGTTACACATAAACGTGTTACTGACACATTTTAAAGCAGGTCAAACAAGAAGTCTTTGGTTTGTTTTTTCATCTTTGGATACTATAAATATCAATATAGTACAGGTTTAAGGGCAAAACGTTGCTTCAAGTTCTTTTTAAGTTTTTTCTTTGTTTCTCTTAAGTTTTAAAGCTTTTCCACCGAGGTTGAGTCAGTCCATGAGTTGGTCAGATCAGTCCGACTTCAGGCTTTGGTGCAGGCGTTGGGGCCAGAGTTGGCTGAGTGACCAGAGCCGTCATCCACCCATTTGTCTAGGCTCCGGCGACGCGCGTTCATAAAGAAGTTGCTGACTGTGGCCAGCTCGAGGCCCAGCTGCTGGGCGATGGTGAGCTGCAGCTCTTTGGATGGACGCTTGTTCTCCTTAAAGATGGCATGGAGCGTCCGCCGCTGCACATCTGTGAACACCAGCCGGGGTTTCTTAGACACACTCCCCCGCTCGCTTCTACCGTGGTCCTGTTCCTTACGCTTACATGCTGTGGAGAGTCGAAAAAGAAAGAGGTAGAAAGAGAATATATGAGTAAGGGCTGAAGACCAAAAAAAGCACCAGATTTTAAATATTTAGATATATGAGTGATGCATCTGACTCTTTAAGGCCAATCTACTAATATAATTAGAAGTCAGTACCACACATCTTCAAATGTAATACTGTTTGCCCCACTTGTAATGATTAAATCATGCATGCATCCACTTGCTTAGTTGACAATTGATGGAAGAAAACAACTAGAACAGACAAAATAAAAAAAGATGCCATATGATGATTAGAAACCCTAGAAATTCATACTATCACATCAGGTGATTATTATAATAAATCACCTTTAATGCAGTTTGTCAGATCAGGTAAAGCCAAATACTGTTGTGTTTCTAATAAAGTGTTTAAAGTAGTGGACTAAGCTGTGATGCCGGTTGAAAGGGAAATGACAAGTGTAAAAGTCTAGTCAGAGACATAATCATCACACACCCTAAAAGGAGCACAAATGCTGGCATTTGGGGACATTTAACTTCAAGGAATCACGCTGCTGCCTGCGTGCTTGAAATCGTGCTAATTCTGCCACAAACACCAGCCTGGCTGAGGTGAATGAGAAATCCAACAGAGAGAAACTCCTCCTGTCCCGGGGCGGTGAGCGCTGTCCAGGGTGCTGAAAGCCAGGCTGCGCGCCCTCAGCGTCCACGCGCGCAAAACTAAGTAGGCCCACGCGTCATTTGACACAGGATAGACAGGCCTGTAATTTGATTTACGGGGGAGACTTATGAGTTCCTTTCATCTGACCTCGTTCCACTCTAATATTGTGCTTTTCCGGACTCAGCTTACAGCATCTGGCATAAGGGGCGCCGGCCAGCGGCCACCAGCAGGGGGCAGACATGGGTCCCCTGCGACTGTGAGAAGGAGCCAAAGGCACATTCTGACCACAGGAACCTCTACACCAGCACCCCTTCGAGGATTTGTAAAAGGAGCGTTTAATTGGATGTCATTAAACAAGCTGGGAACTAAGTTAGACAGTTCCACGTTTGTGACGAGATGCATGGATCGAAGTTATCTAAGTATGTCCTGACAAACTGGCATATCAACGGCTTTTTACGGCTTTTTAAGACTTTGCTGGTTTTAAGTATCATCTTCAGTTGGGCTATAACGTGGAAAACGTGTTCCCCAAAACAACGTTTTCAAAGAGCACGGACCTCTCAAAGATCAAATCAGTAAAAGAGCGTCAAAATGCCACTCTCCTTCTCCGGACTGTGCTAAAGTACAGTGCAGCGGCCTGCTGGCGGGACCATAAACCGGAGTATCATTGGGAGTGTGAGCAGCACGGTGTCTCCAGAGCTGGTAAATATTAACAGAGAGCCGGGGCTCCTCGTGTTAAGGGCTGCTATAAATCAGGCGCAGTGAAGGCCAGGCAGACAGCAGCAGGGGCCGCCCTCAGCAGCCCGGGCCCGGCGCAGGGGGCCCAGGCAGGCTTTCCCAGGACCAGGGGGACCAAACAACCGCCTCATTATCAGGCTAATCGCACACGTACAGGCACAAACACACCGCTGCTGCTCCCGGCTAATCATTACAAGCACACAGATAACTCCACACACTCACACACATCACGGCAGGGCCAGCAGGCACGATGTGACGATATTCCTGCCTTTCATAACCACCACACACAGCTCTGTGCTCAAAGGGCCACCCAGAGTCGACTAAAAAAGGCTTTTTCTGCAGGTATTTTATTAATAAATTGGATCAGAAATATCTCTAAGGACAATATGTTAATTTAAAGTTCCTGATGCCAGAGCAGAGACAAAAACGAGCGCGAACAGTTGATTTTGTAATTAGGTGTAGTTTTCAGAATTTATTTATTCTGCCGGCAGTTTGTATCCAGAATTTATATTGTATTTTCAAGATACACATTTCTATTCTGTCATGTTCCATTTCGTTGTACTCAAGCAATTCAGATCCGTGGGAAAAGAGGAAAGGAGCCGGGATTAATAACAGCAGACTAAAATCAATCAAGTATATCAATTTCTGCACACGATTACATGTATTCACCTAAACTGGATCAATAAAATTGTGCTCATCCATTTTTTCAAATAACTTTTCACGACCCTTTCCCCTCGTTCTTTAAAAGAAAAAAAATTGTTTGCAGAAGATCTAGAAAAGGTGGAGCAGCTTCTTATATTTAAAAATATATATTATTTTATTCGTTATTTTTAATTAAATTTCGTCTGAATTCAGAGTGAAACCAAAAAGGTCAACCTACCCAGTGAATGGTTAATGGAAAACATAAATGAGCACAACCAAAGCTGCTGATCTATTCCCCTGCAGAACCGGTATGAATATATCCTCTGTTGAAGAATATTCAGACCACCACCGATAATCAATAGGCTGCTGGGCTGGTTTTTCTTGTCATTATGGGATAATCACTCACAACAAAATAATCAAATACAAAACAAGCGTTCCAAAGTGAAATGAACAAACATGGCTGTGCTGGCTATTAGGGGCCTGACTGCCCACGCCACTAATTGACTCGTGCGTACCTCTGGGACAAATTGCTCTATCAGTTAATTAGAGACACCTCGGTCAAGTCAGGGTTAGTTTACGACCAAAACACAAACACGTGCTCTATCAAGCAGAGGAAAATGCAAGTCTTTTTAGAATTATTATTATTATCAAAGAGGAGCTCAAAACCCTGAATAATTCTACACAATTCAATTTCACTTGACATTTAAATCTACTTTACAACTAAATCCCAAGAACACGTGTAAACACACACCTTTCTCTGTCTATTTACAACAAGAGCAGCTCCAGAAAAAGAAAGTCTGATCAGTTGCATCTACACCAAAATAAACACAGTCCTAACGATTTCTGGGAGAGGGATCGGTTTACGCACATAGTCCAGTGGTCTATATATATATATATTTTATTCTTGTTTTCGTTTTTTTGTCTTTTTTTTGGTACAATGAGATGAACACTTGTTTAATGTCATGTAGAAAAAAACGAAAGGGGGTGTGGACTTATCAGGCTACCCACTATCAAGTATATTAATGCACTTTTCCAGGAATAGATTTTTTAAAACCACCCCTAAAGAAAACGCATAATAAAGGCAAGGCCTTGCAATGTCTTCAGGTTTATTTACAGACAAATGAGATCAGGGCATCTCTTATTTCATGAGTAACAATAAGCCAAGAGGGAACATTTGTCCTGAATGCAACTCTTGTGCAAGAAAGGATGGCTTGCACCTATTGCTGTAAAACGGTTTGGATTTCTTTTCTTTATTTGTAAAAAGAACGAAATCAATTCGATCTCCCAGCCCACTTGACCTGTCAATTGTTTGACATAAGGTAGCATTCAGGGCCAATGACCTTCTGTGCTCAATGTTTTGCTCTGCAATACATTGAAAAGATGAAAGCTTAAAGGGGGAGCTTTACCGAGGCTTCGCTCACCTGCGAGCCTGAGCGCACTCATGCGCTGGAACTCAGGCTCCTGCAGCCATTTCCACATGCGGCGGAAGGTCTCTCTGCCGGACTTGAGCTTAGACCAGGGCTTGGGGTTTCTCAGCAAGTCGGACAGGGTCCCCTGGGACCTGCACAGGACCCGCTGGGCAAAGATGGCCTGAGGGATGCTGTAGCGCTTCAGTTCCGTGGTGATCCTCTGCGCCACCTCTTTGGTATTCACCTCCTCCATCTGTCCCCCAGAAACACCCCCCCCGCCGCCGCCCCCCTGCTGCCCGGGCCCGGAGGCCTGCTCCCGGCCGTTCCCCAGCCCCTGGCCGTGACCCTGCGCGCCCAGGTGGGCGTGCGGGTGGTGGTGGAGGCCGTTGATCTGTACCATGCCGGCGGAGGAGCTCATGTGCTGCTCCGCGTGCCTGCCCAGCATGGCTGGGTGGTGCGCCTCGAATCCGCTCGGCGTGAGCATCTTCTCACCGGGCATGGCGGCCCCGGGGTGCGCGTAGGGAGGGATGCCGGCCTGGGACGTGTGGATGCTGGCCAGACCCGAGCCGGAGAGCGGGGACAGGCTCTGGCCCATGCAGGGGTCTTTGTGGTGATACGTGGGATACAGACTGTTCATGGGCGCCAGGCTCCGGTCCTCGCGCATTAACGTGAAGCTGCCGCTCACATTCCCGGGGATCCTCTGGTGGGGGTGCGGGTGCGGATGGTGGGGATGGTGGTGGTGGTGGTGATGGGGGGGAAACTTGTCGGAGACGGTGGAGATGGGAGGCAGGGGCTGCAGGGGGGTCAGGGTGGTGTAAGTGGTGCTGGCGCTCATGCCGGGGGGGGCTTCACACATGCTGATGGCCGGATGCAGGTGTCCGGGGTGGCCGGGGTGATAGTCTCCGCTGTCCAGCAAGGTCGCCATGCCCATGGCGCGGTGGCTCAGACCCCGGGGGCTCGGACGGGAGTGCAGCTCTCCGTGAGCGGCCACGGACTCATGGCTCACCCCATGCAGGTCGCCCATATTCTCCATCGACAGCTGTGCGTTCATGATCCGGGCAGCGCTGTGGACAAACCATCTATCTGACCTACCGCAGTTAGCTGATGTCCAGAAGTCCACACGTCCAGCAAAGTTCAATGATCTTTTGTTGCTTGTTCTTTTTTTTCTTCTCGCGGTATAGCTTCCTTTGCTCTGGCTTTTTCTCTGTGTTGTTATTCGCTTATAAATAGATAAGTGTTTTTCCGTTTTTTTTTTTTTTTTTTCAGTACGAAAATCCCCCTTTTTAAAAAAAAATCCTTGTTTTTTTTTTCTTGGTATTTTGGTTTCTATTTAAAAAAAAACAAAACAAAACTCTGATTCTCTGTATTTCAAGCCCCCCCGCCGCCAACCAGCTGTCCTTGCGCTCCGGTCGGGTGCCGCGCCATCTCTCTGGTTGTGTGTCCGGTCCCTGTTCCACCGCAGCACACAGCCCTCTCTACACATGCGCACACCGGGCACCATCTCCTCCCATACTCTCTCTCTCTCTCTCCTTTTTCTGTCTCTCTCACAAACACACACGCGCGCACACCGCCCCATTGCTCTGACGTCAGGTGCCTTATTAAGGAAGGGAGGAATCAAACAGCATGCGTAAAGCTTTCCCCCCCCCCCCATATTCAGCAGCCTTATAACATTTACAAGAAATGTTAATGCTACAGAGGAGCTCTTCAGAGAACCGATCGGTGGACATGGAGAGGTCACGAGGGGCTAAATATCTGGTCGTTGATAGACGCTCATAAGATATTCACTTCATTAGGGTTATAATGAGGCTATACGCCTTCAGTCCTCCTTAAATCATTAACTACAAATACAGTAAACTTCCGGGTTCATTTGGAGTTGATTTTTAACTTGTCAGGCATGGGATTCAAAATCTGAACAACCTCAGTGAAAAGACAAGGAACCACTCTTATAAAAAGTAATTCTCGGAGACTCTCGTGAAAAAACAACTAATCAAAAGCTGGACTTTTTTAGGAGGCTGTCAATGAAGTTGGAGCCTGTATGTGGTCCAATGCGGCACGCTTGGGGATCCTTTCAACCCTGCACTTCAGCTGTACCACCCCGCCCCCACAACAATGCCAAATATATGGCGGTTTAACCAAACCGAGAAGACCGTGGTGGCTACCTTCTCCTCTGACAGAAAAGATGAGCAGATGTGTCTATTGTTCAACCATTAGGCTTAACGAACCAAGCCCAGCATGGGCGTGCGCAAGCGTGTGTCCTCTTTTTCAGCAGAAAAAACATTTAATCCGCTATGTTAGAAAATGATTTAGTCTCAAGTGTAACAGAATTTCCCCTAATCCACTGAGATCTCGAAATAAAACCCTGACATCTTCTGATCACTTAAAGAGGATTTTCTCCTCTTTCCTGAGAAAAAAACTCCAATTTAGAGTCAAATAACGACAATTTGTTAATCTTGTCCCTTTCTTTTTCTAAAGTGACAAGTAATAACCACAAACCTGTTTAGTCTATTTAGTCGTGGGGGAGTTTTTCTGCGGTGGTGCCAAACTTTCCGGCCCTGACCGGAGCCGGACCAGGGCCGTTTGGCCGCGGCTGACCGGTGGCTCAGGGCGTCCCCGGCCGGCCGAGGTGACAGCTTGCAGCGGTCAGTGTCCTTCTGGACCCCCCGCTGAATGGGGGACATGTCAAAGGTGACGCTTCAAGACTCCCAAAGCCAACATCTGCGGGGGGAACAGATTAACCTTTCAGACTTTTCCCTGTTTTTGGACCTGCTAGGGGCCCCACATCTGTCAGGGCCCCTCACAATAGAGCCGGCGTGCGGTTGAACGAGTAAAATAAAAGAGAGAGAGAGAGAATGAGAGAGAGAGAGAGGGTGAGAGAGACAGAGAGAGACGAAGTTAAACTGTCTCTGATGTGAAGTCAATGTCAATGGCGTGTGTGTGACGTGTGTCCAGACAAAGGGACACTAATTCCTCCGAGAGTGACCGTCCAACCGTTTAGTCAGTGGACACGACTGAGTTTACATCCAACAGTTCTCAACAGGATAAGTGGGGGAAAAAAAAAGGTTTAATAACAAATATAATCCTACCTCTGCCCCTTTTACTCTGGGGAATTCACTGATTAATAATCTGATTAAAACACGAGTAAAAAGTATAATCCAACTGCGCTGGGGCTGGATGTATTCACTTTTAACTGGTAAAAGATGGCTAACTAACAAATGGCTCTGCTTGTATTATCTCAGCCCGGTTTCTGCAGCTCAGCGTCAAACGAGATGTGTACGGAAGGCTAAGGTCTGGCCTCTTGGCAGCAAACCTCATCTACACATTCTCATGCGGATCGATAGCTCCTGCCGCGTCTGAGCAGTGTGTTGGTGTGTGTTGGTGTGTGTTGGGCTCTCTGTGGCCATTGTGCCGTGATAGGCCTGGCCCTGCATGCCTGTGACATTTGCTTTTGCACAAAATGTAAGAGACGCGTTTTTAAGACAATTCTGATTGAGGACGGTAACATTTTTCACTTCAGTCGAGGAGGAAAAAGAGGAGAGCAACAAGCAGATCCAGCCAAAACGGAAGCAAATCCTCTGGTTTTTAAGCAACAAATAAATGAGAAAAGAAAGAGCAGTTTGTGCCAGCACACAGCAAAGTGAGGCCAGGGGATGGGCACTGAAAGGCACCGTGACAATTACTTACATGCTTCACGCTTATTATTAATCTGGGGCATCATTCCCGTGAAGCCCCCAGCAGCATACCCGAGTAGAAAACAATATAATGTCTCTCAGAAAGGACCGCGGATCAATATTTCAGCAGCTCTGCAAGCGACAAGCCTTATGCTCAAAATGACAATTACATGTTATTTGGGTATAAGCTTTTGCAAAATGGCATCTGGTGAAGCAAAACTTATTATAAATGACCCTTTTGGAGTTCGGTGCGTGCGCGTTTTCCCCTGTGGATCATGGTGCACACATGCAGATACTGAGTTAGTCTTTTTTATTTCTATTTTTAAAAAATAAATTAATGACTTTACTCGTTTCATTGTTTTGAGCCATTTTACAATTTACTGGTTACACCTTTAAAAATGTGGTGCTGCTTTATATTCATCAGAGGACTAATTTCCTCACGAAATTAAAGAATGTTTGAGGGGAAAATCGTATTAATTTGATCTCAAAATACAGTACAAGATTTGAGATTTTTTTTTCTCTTTTTTCTTTTGTTTAAAGTGAATTGCAGCGTTAGAAGCTGCCCTTCACGGCATATTTGAAGTACAGGCCTTGAAAACACATCGCGCCGATCAATACTGAATACAATTATAAATCCTGGAGGGTGTCAGGCAAAGGCCTCCAATTTGATATAATAATTATCTTTTAAACGCTCTTTGTCTGGAAATTAGTCTTGTATTCATTAAATTAATAAGACTTGAGGTTACAATTTTACCAGTTATTTCTGACTCTAAATTCCCGTCAGATGATACACACATTTAATAAAAACTAATGCAGGTTAGACCTATTAGACCTAAGTTCGGGGAGGAAATTGAGGAAAATCACAGGTGAATAACCAAGATGACATAAACAGCAAAGAAAAATCACCTTCAGTTATTTTTTTCCTTCTGTCCCTGCAGTGAACACAAACCCTTTCAAAACTTTTGTAAAGTTAAAATCACCCAAGCAAACTGTAAACATCGGGAGAACAAAAGTTTAGGTTTAGCTGTAATTAAGGAATTTAGTGTCTTTTTCCTCTCTCGTAATTAGTAAAATGCCATCATGGCCGAGCAGCAGATGCGAGACCTGCTGCCTTGCTCAGGGGTAATTCAACTGCCTCTTCTCTTGTGTTATTCCGCGTCACTTGCTCTGATTCGCGCACTCATGTGAAATGAACAAGGCATCACTTTACATTAAGGTGTCCATATGCCGCCCAATTACTCCCTGTAACTTTAGCGAGACTCCAATTATGACAACAAAACCGTGTCAACGATAGCCAGCAGCACCTCACATCCAAATGACTTCCTCCTCTGACAAAACCTGGGGCTTTGGGGAAATCACAACTTCAACAGGCAAATAAACGGCCAATTAAACCAACGCGCCTGGTACAATTTCTACCCCTTTTCTATGTCGTTTTTTATTTCATTTGGGTTTATCCCACTTTTGAATAGCTGCTGTCACATGACATTCCAAATAATCTAATTTAAAGCAAGAGAAAACACAATTAGAGACATTATTATATTCTTCATGTTGTTCATGATTTTAAATGTAATTTAGAACCTCCCTTCACCTATATTTACATAAGATTTAGCAAAGGCTGATGCTTTTAGAATCAAATCAAATTAGGTGGATGTGTATGCATATTATTTTCTCCACAACAGGGTGGAGCTGCTTCAAGTTGTTTCCTGTCACAATCATGTTTGATAAAAGATTCTCGATTAAACAAAGCTGCCTTTATTAAAGGACCTGCAGCAGCATATGCGTGTGTGCCACATCAATCACTACAAATGGGTTTTCTTTCCTTTTTTTTCAATCCAACAATTGAGCACAATTAATGAAATCAACAGGATGACGAAAAATAAAAGTCGCTATAGGTATATTCTACAATATGGAGCCCTTACAAAAGAGAGGCCCCTTTGCCAGTAAACTGTCATTTGATCTGTTTGTGCGCAGATAAAGTCTGATGGCGTGCGTCAGACCTGGGCAGCACTCCCTTTTTTCACGTCTCCTCTCAACAGGGTGCCAGGGTGGAAATGTCTGCGTTTAAACTCTTCTTCTTCTTCATCTTCTTCTGTGCCTGTCATAAACACATGGCATGCACACGCACACGCACTCACGCCGTAGTCCCTGACTTTTACCGCAGGATCCTATTCTGTCATGCATCCTCCTCATCCTCCTCATCCTCCCAGCTCTCTCCCAAACAGCAGAGCGCGGAACGGCTGCTCCTCAGCGCCGATTTGCATAAACTCTTTAATTCCAGCGTTAAAAAAAAAAGCACAGGATGCATCATCTTGTGTCTTTTCTGCGTTCGAATTTTTCTCCCCCCCCACAGTCCCACGTCCCTCATCCTCCTCTTCCTCCTCCT